GTTGGCAAGACCAAACGTTGTGGGAAAGACGTCAACTATATAAACATTCAGACACAAGAAAAGGCCCACCGAATGATAACCTTGAAGATGGAAAATATATTTCGGACGTTGCTGCCCCTCTGCAAGGAAGTCCAGATCGGTCGCTGTGGGAGCAACTAAGATTTTTCTTCGTATGTACGCAGAGTTTCCTGTTTAGACAACCGAGATTAACGGCCGTGGAGATCCGTTGCGCTGACCACGTGACACCCTCTATCCGCAAAAGTTGGCACTAACTTCGCCGACAAGCGGCGGTCGCTCAGTCGGTATAGTTCACTTACGGACTACAGGCCACTGAGTTTTTCATATATATATGGCATCCGGAGTGGTTCTGGGGCCTATCCAGTGGGTACCGGGGTAGTTTCTCTCGTGCGTAGAGCGAATGGGGAATGAGGCTGATCACTCACACCGATCTACAGGCGAGGTGAAGAATAACAGACCTGTGCTTCCACTCCACTCTATGTTTTCTTGACGTTTTGCTTAATTAATTAGGCACAGTGAAGCATCTGCATTTTATGAAAATAACAGCGAATTAAAAAAAAAACATATGCTACTGTTGGCAAGACTGGATGCAGGCAGAAACTACAGATACTTGAAATCCACGGAATAGGACACAGGTACATATACACCTTTTTGCTCAGAATGACCCATACTGTGACCTCCCAAAACATTGATTCTTCTTCCTGGGACATTCTGTATAACAGTCCAGTTTTGTACTTCTTTTGGCTTATTTTGGACTTCACCCATCGTCCGGTATATAAAAGTTTTGGTTCATATCGGGCAACAGTAATGGAAACATACATATGAATAGACCTATGTGAGTTTCTGGGTACTACTTGAGCGTAATTCGCCGAATATTTATTGGACCAAGAAACGTTTCGAATAAAGGGTTCGAACAAGTTCAAGAACATGTGGATCTAGAGATCCACTCCCCCATACGCCTTCATGGCGTAGTGCTTAATTAGTTAAGCACAGGAACAACTTCACCTTTTTACCTTTACCTGTAAATACGAAAATTCCAGTCACAGTAGCGCAGAAGGCACAATTTCATCTCACCTGATGATTGTTGAGTATACCGAATTTTAGAAGAATTTAATATTAAATTGAAAAAGATACAGCAGTACATTTTGTCGCTGCAATGAATATGCACAAAATTCTGTTAGTTTGTGTTTGCTCCGACGAGGCGGCACCGACATGCCGTCTGTATTTGGTTTTCAGAATGTAAAGAGAGCTTAACAAAAGTTCTAAATACAGTTGTTACTCATATGCAGATCAGAGGCCTTCACTGTCCGTACTGCTAGAGGCTCCAGTTGGGAGTCCGCTGTCGTGAACTTGAAGCGCTGTGCATAGCTAAGCTCTTATTGGTTCGACGTAAAACTCAGATGCATTTCATCGAATTTATTGATCGTGAAAATCGCGACTTACACAAAATAATTGCCGTCTGCAGAATCACGTACAGAGCAGACATTCCACGACAAGTTTCTTTATCTTTCTGAGTATGGGAAGCGTTATTATATTGTATACTTAACAATTTTTCCTCTATCCAGTATGTTGGAGGCTGGAATTCTCTTCAGTAGAGGGAGACATATCGAATTTGTCCTGAGTTGGGCCTGTCCTCAATAATTAATCGAATAACCAGTTAATCTTGCTTCGGTGTATATATGTTTCCGAGTAATGTGCTATTATTTTATGAAGAAGAGTCCTTGAATATTATTGCCCAAGGTTTTGTCCTGTGTTTGATAAATAAGCATGATAATAAGCTTACGGATGAACTGAGCCTTCTAGACAATGGGTATTCGGAGCCCATATCCTCGGCAATAAAGCGACAGGGTCATTAAGCTGAACACACCTCTATATAACCAGGAGGTTAACAGTTATGGAGCTCTACCTCCACGAACTTGACCTTTTGCGTGTGGATCTGTTTCAATTAAGAGGTGCACACGATTGTGAACATACGTGTATGTCACGGAGATGTTATGAAGTAATAGGAGTCTTAGGTTAAGAGAAGTTGTTACGTGGACTCCGCAGGCTCTGTGGGGCAGACGAAACAAGCACAAGCGAATAAATTAAGATTTTGCAGCATCGAGTGCAGGTGTATACGTTTCGTCACGGTATGTAATGGCCTTCATCACAACAATTTCCTTAGCAGTAAAAATAAAACTGCATGAAATTAAATTTAATAAGAATCGGTATTAATTTTATTGTGCTTATTACCTTGCATCTAAGCCTGGATAGCTCAGTCGGTATAGCAACGGACTGCGGATTCGATTCCCGGTAGTGGCAAAGAGATTTGTCTGTAATCCACACCGTCTAGACCTAATCTGGGACCCACCGAGCGTCCTACCCAGTAGATACTGGGGGCTCTTTACCCTGGGTTAAAGCGGTTCGAGCTTGAAGCTGATCACCTCTGTCAAGTGCCGAGATCAAGAATGGTTTAGCTATACCTCCACACCCCCATATGTCTTCATGGCATAGTGCTTAATTAAGCACTGGGACAGCTTAACCTCATTTTATTATACCACTACATGTTTCGATCTTAATGGATTGGCATCATCAGGTGGATTTAAATTTGTATTGTGCGGTGGAGGCAGAAGCTGTCGACAATGTAACGGCATAGGCAAGTCTGTCAAGTTCATGGCTGTGATTAATCTTCTGGTTACTTAAGAAGGAATGTCTTTATGATTTGAATAGCTGTCAGCTGCTGAAAGAAGGTTTCACGTCTCGTTTCCGCCGCCTAAATTAGAATACTTTGTGGGGGGGGGTTAATTGGTCTGTAGTCACGTCTGTGTGTCACAGAAATTTGTCTGTCCGCCACATCTGTCGTGTTACTGTGGGCACAGATTCGCCATCATTTGCGGTCTGGGTAGCAAGCGGACGGCTGTTGTCGCAACAATTGGGGCCCGAGGTAGCGACAGGTTAGGTCAGAGATGGCCGCGTGACATAACGGTGAGGAGAATTACCTGATTTGGTATTACGTGCCCACAGCGTTTGGCAACCTTTTACAATGTATGTACATGACGTGGTCTATTTCATGTAAATTTTTATTTACCAAGTTGGTTAGAAGTTTGGTGCTAATGTTGTGACATAATGTTTGTAACTAGTTCTCTTCAAAGTCACGTAAGCAACAGTGCTTTCATCGGTAAAGTCTTCTTCTATGCCTTCACTCATTTTAGACCTTTACAAGATTTACAAAAATTATTAAATGAATAGAAATAAATGAGGAAACAAACGCATCACTTTCTTAAGATTACGGCCTTATGGATTGTGACATAGTGTATTTTGACAGGTAAGTACCAACGTTTCGGAGGAACCTCCTGCCCAAGTCGTCAGTGTGTCATGATGGATGCAGTAGGCAGGCTCCTCCAAAACTTTGGTACCTGTCTACCGAAGTACACGCCAGTCCATCTCAGAAGACCTAAAGCCCAGTGGTTACTATATGTACCACCTGCTTTAGCATACTAATCAGTCATTCTGCCCACAGAGTATATTTGTATGATTTTACTGTTTCTCACAATAAACTGAATATTTTACCAAACAGCATTAACCGATTGGTCTTTGACGTAATGTGTTTCCTGTGAGGTACGAACTAAATTTTTATATAATTCTACAATACTTTCAACCCATGTCCTTCTACTAGAGTGCAATTGCAGCAACTCGAAGTAGATTCTGTAGTTGTGTTTTGGGGGCATTCCCTATGCAGGTGGCCACCAGCGCACCACATACACCGAGGGGTTGCTTGCAGTTGGCCCAGACATGGCCAGAGTTTTGGTAGGTGTAGCACTGCGTAAGGCGTGCTTTCAATTTGTGGTGCCGCTTTTGACTGTTGCAAACCGAATGATGGTTTCTACATATTGGTGAAATGGCACGGAACGTAAAATCCGGTCTCGTCCCAAATTTGCCCACGTTAAGTTCTGGAACACGGTTTTGCGGCTTGTTTTGTCAATGCGTGTTGCACTGCCAGTAGCTAATTCTACCGATAGAAAGTTTCTTCCTTACAGGGACCAGTTTGATTTGTGAGGTTTCTTTCCAGAATGACGACAGTTACTAAAGTTGAAGGCACTGGTTCGAATCTGGGTCTCTGTCGGCTCTCCTGACGGAAGTACTTCGGACCCCACCACAATCTCCAGAACTGCTACTAAACGTCTGTTGTGAGTGGACGCAAGAGGACACCGCCTCAGGGCTCACACCACTCCCTCTCACTACAGTGAATTGCGTTATAATGGAAGTAGTCCTAACTGACAAAAGGAGTTTTTATAGAAACTTAATTGCAGTTGTCATGTGCATTACCTTTGATTGCCATTCACTTTATCGCATACTGATTATACTGCCGATGCGTATGAAACCCACAAACGGAAAACTAAACTGAACAAAGTTTTCTAGGACTTGAAGTTCTCACACTGGGAAAAAGCTTTTCCTATAACAGGCCGTGGAGGCCCATAGGATTGAGAGACGTCGAAGCTCCCACATTTTCTAGACATTGGCTGACAGATGACTTTGATGTTGTCAGCCTTACGCGCCGACCTGCCGCCCTTTATCCCCAGGAAGAACCTTGGTACTCATTTCTGTTAGAGGTTGAGTCGACCACAGGACCATAGTGCGGTTTGAAACAGCGTAGTTGGAAGTCATCCAGCGTTTCAGAGGAACATGTCGCCTATATCTTCAGGGTGGAAGAAGCCAGCGTGGATCAGATAGCAAGAAGAGCAAAGTGCATGCATTTCTGTGGCACCAGACGGAGTGGTTTCCCCGCCAGCTTTCACGGAGAAAGCGACGTGCCTTGCACGTAATATTATTTGGGTGAAGGTAGCAGTCTTCTGCCAGGCACTTTCTTGCGACCATCAAGTGACGATTGGTTACAGAGGCGTGTGTGTTTGTGTGAGGTCCATATGGGCGGGCCGTCGGTCGGGCGACTTGCTGCTCAAGGCTCACCGTTCGCCCTCGAGCTTCAAGTCAGTCAGTGGGTAGGTGTTGAGTGTGTTGGAAGTGTTCAGTGTTCTAGTGTGCTCTTTGTTAAATGAATACTGGCTGGCTCCAGTTTAAACGCAAGTCGCGTTAGTGGTTGCTACATTGCAGATGTGTGTAGTGTTCTGTGACGATGATACAGCACCGGCGGTCATGTGATGCGGGAAGGCGTGTATAACTCGCAACGCTCCTAATTTTCTTATCGTAAGCTTTACTGATGCCTTATGTGAACTTGGGACTTTTAATAATTCTTGTAATTTATTCGCCGCTAGCCATTATGGTCCGAAATTCTGGTTTCTGCCATTAGAGGCCTACATTTGACGAAATATTTATCTGTTCTGAATCTCTCGAAATGATTTCCGAGATTGAGCATTACATGTGTTATTCAGAAATGTTGATATATTAAGTAAACCTTCGTTATAACGTATTACCTGGGGGGGGGGGTTATCGCGTATGCCCGCTATAACGGAGCGAATGCGTATTCACGGAAGTGCACAATAGGACGCATAGCCAATACACGCAACAAGCACAGAAACACAGTGTGATTACATAAAGGTTTATATATTGGGTTCTCTTATTTTATGTTAAATTGCTTTCTAAGTACAAAAACTTTTTAGTGCCTAAACGTCTCTTAAAAAATCACAACTGTACACAACCAGATTGTGTCCGTTATATTGTGGTCCGTTGAAACAAGGGCTTACTGTATATATATAATTATGTAAATTAATTGGCATTAGCATGAGTGGACTAAAGGCATTAACACTGGCAGGGCCGAGTGCGGGCTGTGTCCGAGCGTCCGAGTTGAGTGCAGAAAGGTGACCGATACGTCACATCAGCTCAATTTAAACGGGACACTTCCCACGGACATGGGCGTTATTCACATATTTTTTCGGCGTTTATGTCGCCAGTAACACTGATCTTGCTTTCGTGTCACACAAGGAAATGTGGCAATGCTGTGTTAGGGACTTAAAACTTCAGGGGATTATAGGTACCGGCTGGACGGCCAGGGTTCGAATCCCGACAGGGGCAAGGTTTTTCCCTTCACAACATCGATACCGACTCTGGGGCCCACCCAGTCTCCTATCCACCGGATACTGGGGGGCACAACGGCTGCGGCGTCCAGCCGACCACTCCCATCTAGTACCGAGGTCAAGAAGATGGGCATATACCGCCGCTCCCCCATACGTCTTTATGACATTGTACCTAATTGATTAAGCACAGGGACAACTTTATTTTAATTATGAAATTATTAGTCCAGAAAAGATTAGTAATGATGACACTGAAAGTAATCGAATTACGTATTTATAAAGAGGCTGTCAGTATCGAGGCCATATACCATCGATGACAATGATTAATGAATGTGGTACAGTTGGTGGAATGAGAATTGCCGAGACGTACTCGGAGGAAACGTACCCCAGTGCCACTTTGCCCTCCATAAATCCCACTTGACCTGTTGAGCAGATATTAAAGACACAGAAACGTAAGGTGTAAGAATAGAATCGTGAAAGTGTACCGTATCCATTAACAAACGTATTCAGCAGAGCGAATTGTAAATGAAATAATTAGGGATACACTGAACTCTTCGGGGGGGGGGGCAAGCGGTAGCGTAGTTGGTTTAGGCATGCTACAAGCCGGAAGGTCGCGGGTTCAAGTCCCGATGAGGTCATTGGATTTTTTCAATTAACCTAATCTTTCCGGCCGCACTATGGCCCTGGGGTCGACTCAGATTCTAAAAAGAAATGAGTACCAGGGATATTATTGGGGGTAAAGAGCGGCCGACGCGTAAGGCTGACAACCCTACCGCCATCTGTGGGCCGATTGTCTAGAAAATGTGGGAACCTCAACATCTCACAACCCTATGGGCCTTCACGGCCTGTTACGGGGATAACTTTATGAACTCTTCACTTCTAATAAGCGAGCATACGAGTAAAGTTCGTACGCATCCGTTCACGGTTAGCTGAGACCTAAACTGGCGAGGGGTCTGAACTCTGTTCCGATTGAACATAGAATTAAGGCCTCTGTTTTCACTGTTAATATTTTTTTTCCTTTGGCGCTACAGTCCCAATTTTGGCCTCGGCATACCTCCATGAAACTCCGTTCACTTCGGTTTGCTAGATCTTAGACATTCGGTAGGACTCATTTCGCGGCTGATCAGCTCGTCTTAAGGCCTCCACCTGTACACAAACACTAAACATCCATGCCCTGAGCGGGATTGGAACCCACGATTCCAGCGTCCGAGCGAGCAAAGACAGTACATTCCTTAGACCGCTCGGCTACCGTGACCGGCCGCTGTGAATATTACAGTGGTTTAATATTTACTGCAGAAATCGTATTAGAGCGCTACATTAAAAGGATAAATCAAATCTGATTTTAATGCAGTCTCAGTGCTAGACTTTATTGCGTTTTTTTTTTTTTCTGTTATTGTGATTGAGTTTAAGAGGCCATGGTTGTTTGTTCAATGCGGAAGTCCGTAAATGTTTGTAATTGTAAAATTTGTTTCGTCTGATTATCGAAAAGGATTGCGAGACGAACGGGGGGAAATGTATCAGACATAAAAAAAGTAAAAAAGTAAAGCTGCCCCTTTACCAGGTCGTGAAGGCCCATAGGGTTGTGAGACGTTGAGGCTCCCACATTATCTAGACAATCGGCTCAAAGATGGCGGTAAGGTTGTCAGCCAAACGCGCAGGCCGCGCTTTACTCCCCAGGAAAATTATTTAATTAATTCCTGGTACTCAGGAGCCCCAGGGCCTAGTGCGGGTGGAAGGATTAGGTCAACTGAAAAAAAAATCCAAAGACCTCATCGGGACTTGAACCCGCGACCTTTTGGCTTGTAGCATGGCCCCTCAACCACAAAGCTACCGCACATCATGTATCGGACATAACATTTATATTTCTTTTTTTTCCTCAGCAGCTTCCCTTTGGAACAAAAATATCACCGATAAACATTTAACGAGAAACCACAGCAGTGCTTCTTGATCTCATGTAAACTGGTCGTTACGTTTGTCCGATCAAGTCCCTCTGTTTGAGTAAACACCATGGAGTGGAGGTATAACTACTATTCTTGACCTCGGCTTTAAATGGAGATGAGTGGTCAGCATCACGCCCCTGCCGCTTAACCCCCATGAGAAAGACCAATCCAGATGAAAATTTAAATTGGTCGATACTTTTTTAAGGGTGTAGATTGTTCGTTATCAGCGGTTTACAACTTGTCTCATGTGCACAGGCGGGTGGACTGAGGCTGTCCGCATTATGAACACGGCTAGAAATTAACACAGTTGCGATCATCTTGGGAACTCATCTGGTAGGGGATACACCTCTGTTTTGTCAACCCTGGAACCATACGTATCTTCTTCTCCTGTTGCTCCCAGTTGGAGCTTAGGGCACCCTTGAAACTCTTCGTTTCAACTCAGTTTTTTTAATCTTAGTCGGTACGACTCTTTGAACTGGGGATCAGCCTGTCATAAGGCCGCTACTTAACACAAACACAGATTAAACGAAGTAATTATTGCCTTGAATGGGATTCGAACCCACGATCCCAGCGTCCGAACGAGCGAAACATGTCGTGCCTTAGAGCGCGCGGACACCGTGATCGGCGGTTGTGCAGGTAACATAATTGTGTTTCACGTGGGACGATTGCCTTTCATTTCAGCTTTGCTAGACGGTGAGCAGGAAGTGACGAACAGACAGTTACGTGTGTGTGTGTGTGTGTGCGTGTGTCCTGTTTGCGTAATGTGAAGTGAAATGTCATAAAACGTGAAAGCAACAATGGGCACGGACGACAGCGTCGACGAGCGCCGTATCCCTAGCAACACGCTAGAAACCCTCCGCGGAATTCTAATCTCCTCGCTCTCCCGGGAGAATATTGGGAACATTGACGTCCAACCATCGCTTGGTCGTCGCAGGAAAGTCACCTTCCAAGAACTGCGCAATGTGCACGGTGAGTGGTATATCCTCTGCATCATCTTCTCTGCACTTTTGTTTGAAGGGGCGAGAAATGTACACGGGGATCGAACTTCGTGGCCTCGCGGCTTTAAACTGTTAGGTATAATGGGTTTATATTTTGCCGGTTACATACCAACTGACTGACGAACTCCATGGAGCAGAGCTCGTCTTGAGAAGCCGCCAGTCGCTCAGTCATTTATGAATTCCGCAACATTTTAAGGAACCCCAAAGTTCATTCCCGTGTTCAGAAGAACCGTCCACTGGTCACTGTCCTGAGCCAGATGGATCCAGTCCATACCACTCCATCCTGCCTCTCTAGGATCAGTTTTAATATTATCTTCCCTCCGACGTCTAGATCTTCCTGTCTTCTCTTCTGACTTTCCTATCGCCCTATGTGCATTCTTCTTCTCCTCCCCCATTCGTGCTACATGCCCTTCCCATCTCTTCCTCCTTGACTTGATCATTCTAATTATACTTGGAGAAGAGTACAAGTTATGAAGCTCCGCATTATGCAGTTTTCTCCAACCTCCTGTCACTTCATCTCTCTTCAGTTCAAATATTCTGCTCAGCACCCTGTTCTCAAACACCCTCAGTCTGTGTTCCATTCAAAACTAGAAGGGAAATTATAGTTTTTTATATTCTAATTTTTTACGTGTTTTAGATAACAGACGAGAAGACAAAAGGTTCTGCACTAAATGGTAGCAAGCATTACCGGAATTCAATTTCCTTTTAATTTCCTCCTGAATCTTATGTATACCTAAACCAGACCTTATATTTCATTTAAACAGCGTTGTCAGTACCTGGGACCTTCCGTGAAGTAGGAGTGTTGTCCACTCGACCGAAACGTTCGTCCACAAACCATGCAGTAGGAAGTAATTTCTACGTCTTAGAATTCGTTTTCTCTTGCTCATTGGTAACTTACGCTCTGATGTTACGGTTCCTACGTCACTGCATTCGAGGCCTTGTGGCAGTTTCGTTCCTGGAGATAATTGTGAAGGTGCTTGTTTCCTGCACCTGACCTTGTGTGAAGAACTGCCCTGCATAGTATTCCGTGCCTTGGCGTTACTTTGCAAGGTTAGGAAGGTGTCAGTCGGTACAATTTAATGTTTTCTTAGCTCTCGCAGATGGTTTGTGCTGTGCATGGCTTGTATACCCCGTCATGGTGCTGGTACAGGTGTCCGAAGATAGGGACTAGCTCTATCGATTGGGCCAAACTGAGTAGGATTTTGTCTGAAGACGTAGACAGAATTCAGTCTTCGAAACGTTTTTGTAGTATAAACAAAAAGATGTATAAAGTCCAGAAACGTATTATTTATACAATGTACACTCCAAATTCTCGTTCTTTATAATATGTAGGCGTTCTTCACAGAGTAAAAAGAAGGAAAGACGACGTTTGTCCGTCTGTCACTGATTAGAACCAGCGCCTAAACCGCTAGATATTTGAAAATTGTATAGTCATTCACTGGACATAATGTCTGGCATTTCCAGTTTTTGTGAAATTTTGACTACTAACGGACGCTCTACATGTAAGACTTTCCGTCCGTTCTCGCACGCAAGTCTCTCTCACGTGTGTGTGTGTCTGTCTGTCTGTCTGTGTCTGAATTGAGCACATGTCGAACAAAAATTGCAGAGAAAACCGGAACAGTTTATGCCAACGTTGTCGAGGACCACCGCTGTACAGTTTTAGTCACTGACAGCGAATGTAAATGAACTACAAATAGATTACTTTCTGAGGACACAGCTGCTGCCTCCGTCTTCACGGAAGACCACCCTGATGTTCCTACACCTGTATGATGCTTTCGCTTTTACACGTGGTAAGAATGCAGGAAGACAGAGTGCCCTGGAACAACTGAAGAAGATCAATTATTGAGTTGGTTACTAGGGTTTTTGTTGTTCTTATCTGCTTTCACATAAAACTCTCAGCCCTGATTCGGTTGAGAATATATTTTAAATTACGAATTGGTAGAACACTTTTGATGGGCGATCGGCTCTTTGCATGGTGCTACGTACGTATCACAGTAGAACACAGAAGTACAGGCACATCAATACCTTGAGCGAGATTCGAACACGAGATCATATTATTCGATCTGCCTAAGAACTTAACGCACTTTAACTCACGCTGCCACAAGGATCGTTTTGGATTAAAATTCGTTTCGTAACAAGCGACCACATTTTTCCCAATGAAACTTACTGCTGTTTGAAATATAACGCTTTATGGACAGTTGGAGATGTTCACCAGCGTTTCGGTGGAAACGTGCTGCCTGCAACTTCAGGTCTTCTACACTGAAGATGGAGGCAGCGTGTTCCTCCGAAACATTTTAAACGTATACCAGACTACGCAACGTCACTGGACAGGTCGGTCAAGCGATAACGCTCTAGACTTCTTTCAGAAGGTACTCGGTTCGATTCTAGGCCGGGACACGGACTGTCGTGACAGGCTTTTCGTGATTTTCTGTAGACCCTTCAGGAAAATTCGGAGATAGTTCCTCAATTAAGCTACCGGTTCCTTCCCACAAACAAACTCCGTGGTTCTAGTTCGCAAGCGAACCATACCGACCGAGCGACCGCCGCTTGTCGGCGAAGTTAATGCCAACTCTAGCGGATAGAGGGTGTCACGTGGTCAGCGCAACGATTCCCCACGGCCGTTAATTTCGGTTTTCTAGACCGGAGCCGCTGTTTCCTTGAAATAGTTCCTCAGTTATCCTCACGAAGCTGAGTGGACCCCGTTCCAGACCCACTACTTCTCAGAAAATCTGGTACCATCGGGAATCGGACCCGAGTCCTCTGGATCTATAGACATGAACTCTGACCACTAGACCACAGAGGCGGTGTGGGTTCCTTCCAAATCCTTCCCAGTTCGTCGAGCCTGTTATTTGACGCTGTTCATCGTAAAATAACCGCCATGAATACACAGCGCCACATCCGAGGAGACAGTTTCTAGTCTCTCGGTGGAATAGAAGAGAGAAGAAACTATGATTGCACTTAACCTTAATAAGACATGGCATGGCCCCGTTTGAGGAATGATGTAGAGCCTTTCACGTTTAGTCACCTGTCGGCCTTGACAGACAAAGACAGAGATATACATGCCATTCAAATTATTAAGTCGGCCTCCGCTTCTTAACATTGCATACTTTTTTGCCAATCCCATCTTGTTGCTGACGTCATATTGCGTTTGCATCCTTGACGAGTAATCTTTATATAAATGTAGGTAGTTACTTCTGCCCATGGCGTATCGACTTAACTATGTACATAAGAAGGAACAAATTTTGTAATTAAGCACGTTGTGTCCCTCACTCATATGTTGTCAGAGCTTTTAAACTCTACAGATATGGCAAACATTCAGAATTGAAGCAGATTAGCCCATAAATATGCAGTTATGATCCTTACAGGGAGCCGGACGCAGTTGCCGCGCGGTCTGAGGAATGAATTATCTTAGCTCCCTCGAACTCTCGGATCGTGGGTTCGAATCCCACTCAACACATGGATGTCTGTGCGTTTATTCTGTGTTTGTGTTGTCCTGTATGTAAGTAGCGGCCTTGTGACGGGCTGATCACTCGTCCAAGGAGTCATGCTGACTGTGTAAAAAAAGATCACGAAACTGAAGAAGGGGCCAGGGCCCAACAGTGGGCAATAGAGCCATTGATGAATGAATGATTCTTACTGGGACTTCATGAAGAGGCCGTTGGCTGCGTCAGGATCACAATGGACCAGATAAACATGACGTGTTTTCACTGGGATCGATTAAGGCATTCAGACACAAGAAAATATATTACGCTGAGAGACAGTCATGGCTTCGATCCCTAGTAAAGATAAGTAGGTTTTTATCATTAAGAAATCGAATGTTTGTATGCTGACCACTTTTAGGTACTCTCAAGCCCTTATTTTCTCATGGTCATGAGTCTCAGAACCAAGGTTAACTATGCTGACGAGGGCCAACAGCATTTTACCCATCACCGTCGCTTCTTACTGCCCGGAGGCTTGCACGACTACCAGAGTCATGAGGCAGTAAACTATGGCCATGAATCCCGTGGGACTCTAAACCAAGAATGAATATGCTGTCGAGGACCAGCACAAATTTAGCCACCCGACCCCTTCTGTAGCGGTAGTTAGGTTCCTGTGGAACGGCCCGTTAGGTAAATTTGCTTAATGAATGGGGGTAACCAACTGGAACCAATTCTCATTTTTTTTCGTGGCACTACAGCCCCAGTGGGCCTAGGCCTACCTCCATGAACTTCTCCGTTCACTTCGGTTTTTCTAGATCTTACACATTCGGTAGGGCTCTTTGGGCGGGTGATCAGCTCGTCGCAAGGCCTCTACATGTACACAAATACAGAAAAACGCACACAAACATCCATGCCCTGAGTGGGATTCTAACCCACGATCCCGGTTTCCAAGCGAGCGAAGACAGTGCACGTCTTAGACCGTTCGGCTGCCGTGAACGGCCCAATCCTCATAGAGTCTGTTATGATTGCCTTAGCTGCATATGTTTTACACATACACATCTGAATAGCCCTACATATAAGGTGACGGTAAAGTTACATATAGCCGGTCACGGCAGCCGACCGGGAGTTGAGTGTTCAGCTTTGCGCCCTGGTCGCTGTAGGGAAGATAAAATCTCTTTGCCCCTGCCACGAATCGAACGTGCTATACTGTATATAAAATAAGAACATGATAAACAAAGGTCCGAACTGGTTAGTGTAGTGATAAGGTTCTACACCTTTATTGTGGAGGTGTTCCATTCAAATCTCGCCCACCGACTGAAGCTTTACTCAGGCCCTTCCAGAAGATGGTTGAATGTTGCCTCGATGAGAGCACGACCGTTTCCTTCCAAATCCTTTCCAGATCATCAATCCTTTCATTCGACTCCATATAGTTTTGATGCTTACAGCATCGTAAAATGAACCCCGAAAGAGAAAGTTAAACGTAACTAATTCCACGGACCTGAGCCCTTCTTGAGAAGCTACCAGTCGCTCAGTTACTCAAGAGCTTCCCAAC